GGTACACACAAGTAAAAGAAAAATGGTGGTGTGCGTAGCTGTGCACAGGTAGAAGGAACAGCGGCAACAGAGGCAGAGGTGCGGCGTGACCGCTTCTCGCTGCGACACTACACGAGACTGCAGTGAGTTGGTCGCTGCCGTGCGTCGCTCTTCACTGCTTTTCGATCGATACGAACGATCGATTGCTCTGGGCCAGCCGTAGATCGTAGAAAATCGATGTAGACTCGCAACCTGTTACGCTACCGGCACGATCTTGGATATATCGGCTTCAACACGCACCATTCTTGTGGCAGTATTAGCCTTGACGGGCGCCAGCTAACCTGGACATATACTTAACTTGTACAGCTAGCGCGCATTCACACGTGGATCGTGAGTGCGCGGCATCGGTACGTGAATTCGAATCGAGGAAAGTATCCTTAACGGTCGGATGATAGGAGAAAAGTGGCGTCGATATGTGACCTGTGATCGTGTGTCAACAGTGTGCTGGCCAGCGGAGCACCATGTCGACGATGGACGTGTTTCGCATCGCGCAACAGGGACCGCCGACTACTGAAGAGGAACAAGGGTAACGTTTATCAAAAGTGTTATTCTATAATCTAATCCTTTGCTTTCGTGCAAAAAAAGGATAATCTTTCTATTTCGTGAGAAGAGTTCAAAGGAATTTACGTGATTGGTCAATACGAGTGATTGTTCTGGAAGATCCAATAGGAATGTTTTTGTTCAAGTTTCAGTTACGTATTACTCGACTCAGAATACATTTTTAAAAGTGATCGTTTCGAAGAGAGGGGAGATAGTCGATAGGAATCGTCATGTTGGAATGTCATTTAGTTAAGTGTTTCTGTGGAAGATTTGACAGACATTTTAAATTTTTATTTAAAAATTTATACACCAAAAGAATTTTTTTCATTTTTGTTAGATAGAATGATCAAATCTCGCTACGAGATTGACACTTGGACGAACATCGTTAGAAACGAATCGTTCCTTATTTATTTGTCTTTATATATCTCCATGACCGTTTACAGTTTATCAAAAGGATTTGCGTTATACTTTCTACGCTGCTCGAGGCAATAAACCTCGACGAATACGACCAGCAGAACGACTGTCGAATACTGAATCGTCGGAAATAAGACGTTCGCGAGAAACCTGTTTTAGCACTATTCAGAATTTCTATATCAACCAAGCAAATTAAAATACGGTAAATCGTGTCTCTGTCTCATTTCTTAAAACATCTTTTTAGAATATTTTAAATGATTTTATTATGAATAATAATTTTTTACGTTTGATTAAGAATCAATAAAATATTTCTTTGAATAAATATTGAACTTTTTGATAAATATTTTTAAAAAACAAGTTTTAATATTGTGTCTTGTACTGAAATAGTAAATTATAGTGAAATCAATTATTGGTTAGGTTAGGTGTATGTGCATTCGACTAATTTTTTTGAAAATTAAATGATATCGTCAATACAATTTCCGTGATTCCAATCTTATTTTGAATCATATCTTCCATTCTGCATATGAATTATATCTTTTATGATATTTCATAAAATCTTCAAGACGAAGTAATTGCATCTTTTTTATTATCTGAACTTTTCTGGCGCCAATTAAACAAGCGTATAATTAAACAAATGTTCAGATAACGTGCGTATACTTTTTAATGTTATCTTACCATATAATTTACTTGATATTGCTACCATAATTGTTCATATGCTTTAAACGTTCTTTCTATTCCATCTTATTTTTCATGAACTAATATATCTCGTTTCATAAACGATATAAGATAAATTCAATTTATAATGGACCAATAGACAACAAATACGATTCATAGCACGAACTTGAAAGAACGATTCAATGGTGTATACATTCAGGCACTAATGATTCAATTTAAATCGAGCTCGTGATCACCGATTCCACAGGTGGCTATCGGCGAATAGAAAATACGAAAAGCTTCCATATAAAGGTAGCACCACGATATTAGTCACGTTTCTCGACGGTCTCTCTCCCTTCTCTCTCTCTCAATGTCAATGACTGCTCCCTCAGGGCTAGCTGTGACCCCCCGTGCGAACGAGAGTCTCGTCTTTCTGTATGTCGTAGCATATAGCAGGAGTCAAGTGGAATGGCGCTTTCACACGAAGCCATAAAGAAGTCGTGATTATTTATATTATCTATATGTATACACGTATTGTGTCTGAAACGATGGTACAAATTTCTAAATATATGAAATAGGTATAAAAATAGGTAATATTTTTAACTCTGCTGTTTTGTTTGGTTCAATTTAACCTATTATGCAAAAAAAATCATATGATATTTGTTTTTGATAAAATTTATATTTTCCTTATTTTAATATCAACTTACATAAAACTTTTTAATAAGGCTTGTCCTAAGATTTTTGAAAAATAAATAATGAATTGTATTGTTAGAACATTAATAATGTAATTAAATTTTATTTTTGTAAATTAATTTAACAATATAATTTAATTGTTTGTATATAGACTTTCATTCGTATATACAAAATTGATGATGCATCAAAATAAATATATTAATATAATATAATTCTTTATTTTTGATTATAAAATTATCTTAATACTTTTCAAATATTAAAGAAATATATTATTAATAGTAAAATATAAAAAAAATTATAAAATATACAAAAAAATATTTAAAAATTTTGTTAGTAAAGTAATTACCAAGTTATATAAAACAAAATCATAAAATATTGTTATCTGGTAAGAATTATATTTGAGCCAAACGAAATAATACTAGAGATAATCATATTTCCCGCCGTAACTTCAGCGCGCGAATTGTAATCTAATTTAAATTTAGAAAAGGATTAATTAATAAAGAAAAGGATTTTCTTGAAATTTATTTGAATAGCATGAAATATTCGATAAAATTGATAATTGGAAGAAATTTTTCGAAAAAAATTTCCTATGAGTTTTGCCGAGTTTTCGTTGGAAATTTCTGTATAACTTATCAACTTATAACTAAGGAGATATTATCGAAACCAGTTCAGGTTCCATTACGACTTTCACTGAAAATTATCTCTACGTAAATATCTCATCGATAAAACTTTGAACAGTAATAGGTAATCCAATAATCCTTTTTCGCGTAAATTTACCGCGGTTGTTCTTAACAATTTAATATTAACTCTATAATCGATTGAATTTATAATATTATTTATCAATTCTATTATTATTTATATTTTTGCGACTGGAGATATTAATGCAAGTGAGATCGAAGTAATACTCTCGGAGAAACGAACCTTAAACCTTAAGGTTGACTAACGGGACTTCCGGCGTCCGTACGTACTACACTGCATACAGTGATTGCCGTTGCAATTCCTGTGATCCGTAATATACCGTATTTGACGGAATGTTGATAAAAAATTTTGTTGATAAAGAATTAGAAATATGTGCCGTCATATTTCCTTTCGAATCTCGCTATAATACAATCGATGGTTGGTAACTTTAACCTCTATATTCTTTACATAATATATCTCATTTGATCTTTTTTTTTTTAATTTTTAATATATATTACTCATATATTATTCATATAAGCTAATTGATTGTATAATTCGAGAATCTTTGCTCGATTTATAATTTGAAAATTTCTATTAGTGTCTTTTTTTTTTATTTTTATTTTTTAAAACATGTTAAAATATTTAAAATTTTATTTGATTATTACCATTAAAATGACATTTATTTCACAAACCTAATTAATATTCATATGCATAATCTAGTTCCCTTATAATTCTTTATTGAAACGTCAAATAATAATAAATCGTGGATATATGTTAATCAATCGTAGTCATTTAGAATACGAAATATAGTTATAAATCTAATAAATTGATAGCAAATGAAATTATCCTGAACATATCAAACAAAAATATCAAATATAATGAAGAATACTATCCTATCTAATTAATTTATTTTTTAAGATACATTGAAATATAATTCTATCTTTATCTTTTAATAAATAAAGTTCAATTTTTTTTTTAATAAAAAAATTTCAATTTTCACAGATATATTTTCGAAATTCTAGAAAATTATACAATTAAAATTGGTATAATCTTTTGTCAAACGAAGAAGTCATCAACTCAACACTTTCGTATTTCAGGAGACGAGGTCAGAATAAAAAAATTGGTGAAGTAGTAAGAAACATAATACACGCGTTTTATTATGTAGCTAATAATTAATTAAATTAACGACTAGGGAAAGCTATTGTTCTCTCTTGCATGAAGTTTAAATGACAGTGCGTAATCACGAGGGTAGACACGCTTCTCCGCGTTTCCGCTCTACTTTCCGCTTTAATATATTAAAAACTTGTCATCGATATATGCATATTTTTCGCGTGCATTCGAAGAGATCGTGTGATTGATCAGAAACCGTTCGAATGCGAAACTGTGTCGCGAAACCATGAGAAAATATTGACTTTTAAACGCAGTTAAAATATGCATTAATTAATTAATATAATATAAAAAAATCTTAGCAACCTCTTTAATTCGAAAATTTCTATACATCCCATTTTTAGATAAAATATTCGATTTTTCAATATAACTTAATCATCTATATATGCATTGCATAAACATATTGGAAAATTAGGAATATCAAACAAAATCTAAAAATAATTTAATTTACAAGAAATATAAAGACAAAAACGATAAATCTTTCATTGTAAAAATTTAAAAACAGTTGGATTTATTCTAAGGAAGAATAATGGCAAAAAAAAAAAAAAAAAAAAAAAAAA